ATTAGAATAATTAAAATGTAATAGAAAATGATATTTTACATTTAATAAAAAACTTTATAAATAAGTCGAATATATATTTAACATCGTAAAAAATTTAAAATTGAATTGATTCAAACTGGTTCTTGAAACCGGTTTCAATTCGGGCCGAGCACTCGAATTGACCCGATTATCGATTGCAACCGGTTTAAACCAGGTCAAATTTTTTGAAAATATTTAAAACTGGTTTTCGGAAATAGAACTGATTCCAATCTCTAGTCTAAACGTTACTATTATATATTTTATTTATTTATATTATAGATTTTTACAAGAAGTGAAAAATTGTTAGAACTGATCGAAATTGTGATTAGATATTTGTGTAATGCTAATTATCTAACACTTAACCTTGTTCACCTATATATAAAGTCATTTAAAAAGCAATTTGCTCTAAGACTTGACAAAAATGAGTCAATTAATACCTATTTGAAACTTATCTATGGCGAAGAATATGAGAAAAATAATAATGATAAAATAACTGATGATGATATACCAAGTGCTGACACTTGTGAATAATGGTAATATGCACATCAGCAATTTCAACAAAGGATAAGTATTCGTGACTGAGAAAGAGAATGAACTCAACAAGGATTTGGTATTAGAAAATGAATACAAACTGAAAGTATTGCAGAAGAGACAAATAAGGTAGAAGATTTATCACCAGTTAATACAGATGGTTTACTTGAAAAAGTCTGAGCTGCAATTTTACCTGTCATTAGATGAATTATGGTCCGTTCTAATAGATACTGCCTTAATTTTAAACATTTCAAGTGGTCAACAAATGGTGAATGAGATAGGGCATATCAGTTAGTAAAAAACTTATATAATCTTTGAAAATAACCCTCTGTATTCCAGATAACATTGAAGATAGAAATCCTGAGGGGAATAATGACAACGATTTGTTCAGTGATCTAGAAGGCAATTACACAGAAATGAACACAGAAGAGGGGGATGAAGTATCATGTTATGTAAAGTTACAAGATGTTAGAATTAAAGATGACCCTTTAATGTGGTGGCTAAACCATAGGGATAGTTTTCCTTCTTTAGCACAACTGGCAAGAAAGTACCTTTCGATTCCTGCGACGTCAGTACCAAGTGAACGATTATTTTCGGATGCTGCTAATCATATTTAAGCAAAAAGAACGGTTTGGCATCTGCTTAGTGAATAAGGTTTTGTTTTTAAAATGAAATAACACCCATTTTGAGATGTTTCCACCGCAGGAAAGTTAAAATTATGAAATTTTATCGAATTTTTTATATTCAAATAATTCTTAATCATCCGTTTTAGACATTTTTATATTTAGTATTATAAGAATTATAATAATATAATCGCTAAGAACAATAAAAAAAATGAAATAAAGTGGAAATTGTGAAAAATGATAGTACGCCATTATGACTAAATATCAATGCTTTGCGGTTAAATCGGTTTAACCGGTTTAAATATAATCGGATTGTCCGATTTTAATTTTATAATCGGTTTCATTTTTCAAATGTTAATAAAACTGGTTTCTAAAAATAAAACCGGTTCCAACCTCTAGTACCTGTTTAATTGCCTTGCAACCTTTCGTGGTAGCAAGTAGGAAAATAACAATAAAGCAGATCTTTATTTTTTTTTTCCATTCTCATATTCCATTTTTATAAAGGGGTTTATTATTGGAGTGAATACATGGTGTGTTCGAGAGTTTAATGTTTTGAGACTTGATCTGTCTAATTACGGGTCAAAATTTTCTTCTTAACTCGTATTAAAAAAATCACTTTATATTTTATTTTATTTTATTTTTTGTTTTTCATGACATCTTAAACGCATCAACATATAAAAAAAGAATGTTTGACCAAGGTTTTTCAGAACATTGATCGAATAGTCTAGAAATTTGTACCCCCTCGATTACATTTCAATTTTGGTTATGCAGTTCACGCGGTTGGATGTTTGTTTCAAAAAAAAAAAAAAAAAAAAAGGTTGGTTCCACCTCAATAAAATGATCATCGATTTCTTCAATGTAGTAATAATTTTGTAATGTTTTGTTTTTTTTTTTTTTTTTTTTTTTTTTTTTTTTTTTTTAGATGAGACCGCTATTAGGGTGTGTAATCATGTCAAGTTTTTTTTTTAAAAAAAAAAGCCCATTAAAAAAAACTTTTATTTGCGGATCTCGTTATTTCGGTATTCAAAAACAAAAAAAAACTCCCTCAATTTTTTTTTTTCTCTTTTGATGTTTGAAATGAGAGTGTGTGTATATCATGGGATGATACAATTGTAAATATTCCATTTCCTTATTTTAAACAAGTTTGCGAATTTCGAAAGCCATGGAAGCTTACATTATGTTTTAAGTTTTGATTTGATGATGATCATTCTTAGTTTATTTAGTTAAACGTTAGTTAATGCATTGGCTTTGAGCCAGTAAAAAGACATCAAAAGCTAATATATTATTATTATTTAAGACAAACCAAACCAGGGAAAAGGATAAGCAAAATCGTCAAAAATACGAATTTTAGGTAAGCTACCATAACACAGCAAATTTTCGGGGATTTTTGCTAATGAAAATACTCGTTAAAGAAATTGTCGATCAGGTGTAAAAAATTCAGATTTTGAAGTTTGTGGAAAAAATAAATAAATAAAAAAAAAAAAAAAAAATGAAATAAAGCATTTATTGTTTATAGCAATACATGATTTGAATAAAAAAAAAATTCAGCTGTGTTAAAAATAGACAAGTTCTCAAATCCATATTTACTACGCTTAATAGGAAATATCATAAATCGCGGTACATTAATAAATAGATTCTTTAAAAATATTTGAAATAATAATAATTCAGCCATCCATTGAATCTATTTAAGATAGAATTAACTATTTTTTTCCAGTGTTCAACAAAAAGCAATGAAAGTAGGTCCTAGAAAGCACTACCTTTTCAACATTCAACTACTTCCCTTTGATTAGACGTATTGACGATCTCTGATTTTTTATCCGCAATGGCTCGGGAAAAAACGACCATAATCAAGTAACTTTTTAGCCATAAACTAGATGGAGCACATAATGTCACCAAAATAAATCCGATGTATGTATAATATAAAAAATGTATAAATTTCAAATCATAATCTTCATTAAATGTTGCAAGACGGTTATTAATATCTTGAAAACTAATGCTAATATCGGTAACCTCATTGTTACGACGTATAATATGAAAGTTTCTAACTGACTTATATATCGCGTAAAGGGTTGGAATAATATAGGGGATTATGATAAACAATACGTCATTACTGATGTAAATAAATCTAAAAAAAGCGAATAAGAAGAAAATTGTGTGAATAATCACTTCGAACAAAGGCAGGAAATATGATTTTATGAATAAGAATGTCACAGGGTTTTGCTTTGGTATCAGTAGTAATAAATCAATCAAAAAATATACTGCTATAATTATGATATATATTATCAAATAACGCATAAAGAAGACATCGTTTGTTTTTTTGTACATGTTAATAATAAACCAAATTTCTAAAACAATGATAATGACTTGATATAACAAACCAAGTTTACTAATTTCCTTTAAAGGATCCTTTTTTTTCATATATAAATACAACAACATTGAATGGAGTGCTGTTATAAGGATATCGAATGAATCTATTACTCTAAAACTATCATCTTCCTGAGCGAATGTTGGTTGTACAAGGAGGGAAAGAATTCCAAGTAGTTTTAAAATATCATGGAATAACAAGTTCTTTTTCATTTTAGCAATAAAAAATGACTTCATAAAATAATATATGAATCTTTACTTGAGAAATTCAAATTTTAAAAAAACATCGATGCTTAAGGATCTTTTTAAGGCAAAAAATTTTTCGATGATCTTCCTTTTTAATAACCACAATCATAATATTTTAGGTACATTTGCTTTGTTTAATTATCTTTGTTCGTCTTTATTTATAATGTGTATCTATTACCTGTTTACTGTAGTTTCAAAACGCTAAATACAGTTAAAACTTTTTGTTGATATCGTCAATGGATGCACCCAACGCCCCAAAAATATTATTTATTTTTTGAGGATCCCATAATAGGAGGAATTATGCATGTATATTTCCAAATTTTTAGGACAAATAATGCAAAATAATTTTAGAAACGAAAGAACTAAAACATAAATAAAATATATAATATTGATAACTTTAATAAAAAAAAAAAAATAGGAATTTTGAAAATTGAGAATGTTTGAATTCCTAATTGCGAATGTAATAAGACTAAATCATAAATTAAGAATGTAAATAATGAAAAAGAAAACATGAATTGAAATTTTTAAAACGAAAATATGTCGGAGGTTCTCGAATAGTTGAAAAAAAAATTTAAACATTAAATCTTTCAATTGCAAATGAACAAAAGAGTAATGTCAGAATAAAGTTTTGTGTTTAAGAATTGTGTTTCGGGCGTTTAAAGGAAAAAAAAAAATTTTCGATCCGAGACGTTAGTATGGAGCGAGCGAAGGAATATCATGGTCTAGGCTGTCACGTCCGGAATGTGTGAAAGGTTAAGCCACGTCGGTGACAAATAACGAGCGACAAATTCAATTTGAAGAGGCCCTAAATTAGTCCAATTACACAATAAAATTTTCACTTACTGAATGATCGAGTTAGATGAAGTCATTGGAAAATTATAATAAAAAATTCACTCAACAAGATTGGAAAAGGAGAATATTTTATGGATATATAAAAAAAAAAAAAATTTTGGGAACGTAAGAGGAAAACAAAACATAAACAGGTGTTAAACATGTTTGCATTTGCATTTTGCAGATAAAGTTTAGTCTTATTCATGCTGTCATCTTTGAGAATTCAATGTGTTTTGTTGTTCTGATTACATAAAGAACAAAAAAACTTTATACCAAGTACAATGCACAATAATACAGTCAATTCTTTCGATAACGAATTGACGGTTCTGTTAGAAAAAAAAGTTCATTATATGTTTTCTATATGAACCATTAACTTTTTATAACGAACTATTATTAAAATTGAGTTCGTATAATCAGAATTCCTTATAAAGAGGTTCGTTATAGAAAGAGTCGATTGTACTTTATTTTATCTATATATGTGGAATTGAATAAGGATAAAGAAAGCAAACGCCGGACATGCGGTGTAACTATAATTGAGTTACTTTACTCTATCGCAAAATGTTACACTTACTGTTCATATTAACTAAAAATTGATAGATCATGTGCTCAATCAATTCTAGCCATTGATTTTCCTTTTGGGTGATTTTTTTTTTTTACATTTACGCGAAACTTCGCTTTAAAAATAAGTTTTTTTTTCAAGATCTTCTTACGAGTATATAACTTTAAAAACAAAAATATATGAAATTTTATGGGAGGAAGAAGATTTTCTTAGGTTGTTGAGTGTGTTGTTCAGTTGGATTTTATGTAAAATACAAAAAATTCAAATTTTTTAAATAAACATAATAATTTTTAAAATTATAAAAATTTTATAGTGACAAGCTCTTAATAAATGCTTTGTATTTAAATACAACTTGACGGAAATAACTACTTTTATAATTTATCTTTTTCCTTGAGAGGCTCCATTTTAGCTAAATAAACAATATTAATAAAAAACACAAAAAATATGTAGAAATTTAAGAACAATTATTAAATAAATTTAAAATTAATATATTATAGGAGAGAATAACATAAAGTTCTTTCTGCTTTGAATTATGGACTATATAAGAGGAAGAAAAGAATTATTAGGAAATCAAAATAGATAACTTTGATTTGAAAACTATACAAAAAAAATTTGATATATTATCCATTAATAAAAAATTTAAATATACTACTGTATTTAATTAATTTTTTATCATAATAAATATGAAATAGCTGTAATAGAAATTTTTATTTTTAGTATTATATTTTTATTAGTATAAGAAAAAAATCACAATAAAATTTAATTAAAAACCTTAAACCGGTATATTAAAATAGGCATATATTAGACAAACATGTTTTGAACCGTTTATTTTTTTTTTATTAAATAAAATAAAATAAAAAAATAAATAAAAAAAATTTTTTTTTTTTTTTTACTGTTATTGTAATTTGAGGATGCGAATATATGTAAGTACTAGGTAACGGGACCGTTGGAGCGTCCGAAGCGTTCAACTTAAATTTTAGCCAATCACAAATCGATTTATGTTTATCACATGATTAGGAAGATCACGTGCTGGGCAGACACCACATGCATGGTTTCAGCTCTAACCAAAAGTGTCCTACGCTTACGCTTCGGACAATAAGCTGCTGCAATCAATTGCTTTGCTTACATTAGCTTATTAGCTTAATAAAATTTTGTCGATCAACTGATCAGACATCAACATAAATGTCATTTGCTATCGAGCAACTAGAATGAGAATCAATCGAACTCTAGAAGGTTTGTTGAAGTTAACAAAAAAGTAATAAAAATGTATAACATGAGAGGAGTAGCGACTGCAATTGAAAGCTACTGAACAAGCAATAATAACAAAGGATGGAGTTGTAAAAAAAAAATTAAAATTTTTTGATTTATAAATGTCTGCATGCATACTGCGCCATATTGAACAAATAGTCAGATAACCAATGAACATTGAATATTTGTTCATTGTTCATTTAAAATTTAATAACTATATGGGTAAGTTAAGGACCTGAAAGAATTTGAAACGCGTCGAAATCACTGGACCGGCCGAGCAATAAATTATATTCCTTATATAAAGAGCGGTAAAACCACTTTTTTTTTTTTTTTTATAAAAACAGAGCCACTCATCATCATTTTTTTATTCCATTATTCCATCGTTCTAAATAGCGTTTGATTATTTAAAAAATTCACATTTTTATCGAATAAACCCACCTAATAAAGCAAATTATTAAAAAAAAAAATGCCTTCATTCACCACAGACCAAGTTATTTTCTTATGCGAAATATGCGAATCAGTGATAAAAAAAATACATTCAATTTGTAAATCAAGGATTATTCAGATCATTTTTATGTTAGGTAATTCTAAAAAATCACGAAATATTTCTTCAAATTTTGTGCTCTATCTCTCCCTCTCTATGTAACTTTATAAACAACACAAACTTATTCACCAATTTTATTCTTTTTCAATTATAAGATTTATATGTATTGTGGTGTTTGCTTCCTTTCAATAATTCTGGAACCCGCAAACACAAACCTCCGACATATTTTTTTCGATTTAAAGATTTCAATTAAATTTTTTAGATAAGTAGGTAAATCATACACAAGCATTCTTAATTATTCACCAATTTTTTTAGATTTCTTTTTCGTTATACTGTAGTTTACTTCATTCACGATTAATGAGTTCAAAAACACAAACATTCACAAATTTCAAAATTCCTTTTTATTTTTCGTAAATTATTTAAGTTTATCAATATTATAACCTATTTATTTATGCCTTTAATTCTATATACATCACATCATTTCTCAAAAATTAAGAAGCTTCATTTTTATGGCAATTAAGTAATTTCAATAAAGATCATTTTTATACATCGTAATATAATTACGTGAGTACAGCACGCTCCAATAATTTTAAATGCACCCGTTGTTATTGAGAAATTCGAATCGACTCTGACAAGAAAGAATAAGTCAACATCCTAAACTTTACTCCAAAAAACATTATCACTATTTTGGCACGTCATAATTCATTGGAACACTATATTCGGAATATCTCCCGATTTAACTCACGAACTTGAGTCGTAATTAATGATTACGAGGGCCGTTCATTTGAACTCGAGATTTTTGTTTTTCATTCTTCGGCTCAGTGACCTTCTTGGATTTCCAAATTCATCTTAAATTCGTTTATTGTCCTGCCCTATTCTTCATAAATGCACATGCAACATAATTATTAATTACATTGGGAACTTATATTTATAAGTTAATGGAATAAACTTGGACGATCTGCAGATGGCATATCTGATATTCATTGCAAGCTCGTTATGGAAAAAACCCGGTATTAGACATTTCATATCGAGAATACAACCAACTTCAATCATCAATATCAATTTCTCAACGTGTTGAATATTATAATTCTCGTGATGGAAGAAAAATCAAAGAGTTAAATGGTCTTTTACTTCTCTGGATAATTTGTGATCAATAGTGTTGACCATGAGGATTTTCAAAAATTAATTTACTTTCAAGACAAACAAAGTTTGTAACATCCATACTTTATGGTTTATGACTCATGTTTACTGATCCAAAAATTTAATTAGAAATATATAGACAGCATTATGACAAAAAGGAAAAAAGTTTAAATGATGATTTACATCATCTTATATCTTACATAATAAAAAAATGCTCGTGTAACATCTAACCTTAATATTACTGTATAAAAAAAATTTTTAGTGTTACATTTTGTCAAATAAAAAATTTGTATTAGAACCCGTGCAATGCAAAAAAAAAAAAGTTTATATAATAAAAATCTTACATAATTCGCTATTTTTGGTTATAATATAAAGAATTAAGCATTGAAAATATTTTTATAATTAGAAAAACAGCGCTCTATATCTACTTCGACTACTGGTAACCAAATATAAATCAATGCTATTTTTGATAAATAAGGTAATATTAAACTATTTTCTTTCCAATATTTATCTAAATCCAATTCACCTTCTTCTATTATTTCTTCTAATCTATTGTATGTAAATACTCCATTCATCTAATAAATCATTTGTAGAATTTTAAAATATTTGCGTCCATTATCAAAAAAAAAGCGACGATAATTACTT